TTTTAGCGCTATATAAATTCCCTATCATCATCATTATCATTATCATTTTTTATCGTGGGCATCCACGCTTCCGGAATTTCTACTCCACTATCCCTGTTGTTATTGTCAGGGTAAAGTCTAAAATGAATAGCCTCTTTGACCCTGCGCGTGTAGTAATAAAGGTCACGATCAATAAACTTAACTTCGTTCCAGAGTGGCTTGTGTTCGTTGTTGTGATCATGCTCTGGAACGGCGGAGGTCTCGGTATGAGTCGGATGTCTCGATCGTGCTCCTTAATTCTGTCTTGCATGGGTCTTTCAGTCTCTCCCACGATTTTTTTTCATTAGTATCAAGCACTATTTACGCGGCATTGGTTAGTTTCGATGCTCGACTGTTTCATTTGTTGTTTTTCCTCGAAAAAACTTGACGTTTTTATCTTTAATTCCTTTTCGTAGAGTTGTTGTAAACCGCTTCTCTTAGTTTTTTTTGATCAATTTGAGCACAAATCATTGATTGTATGCAGCATTGTTAGAGGAGACGGAGCTTAGAGAAAATTGAAACACTCGTGGTAGTTTTGAAAAAGGTCCCACCTGAGCCGAGGCAATAAGAGACATTCCTAGAAAAACACGATTTGATATGACTTCCACTCTAAGCAATCTCTCAAATTTTTCCATAAGGTTTCCCTAACAATCAAGCTAAAATGACCATGTGGTAAAACAGCAAAAGAGGTTTTCCTTCTCACAAAATTACGTCCATAAGTAGGCAAAGGCTGTTTCATGTACTGACAATATGTAAAAGATGCGAGTTTTTATGCCCGTTTTGATATGTCTTCTAGAGGTACTAAAGCAAAAACAAAGGTACAAGGTGCCTCTATAATCTCTCCTCTACGAAAGCCATATGGTAAAAGTAGATTATTCAAAGTGATTTAAGAGAAACCAAGAAAAACATTCACCCCTTAATGATTTTAGGCCATTTTCTGTATTGTGTGGCGCGTTCTGCGCCAGTTCATTTTCAAATTTACCGCCCCTTAGTAAGTCTTAACAAGTCCCAGAAGTGTCGCACCATTCAACGCGATACTGTGAAAGTAGGTCAGGATCAAAGAATAAATTATCTGACCACAGTACTGGGATTCAAATCACGGATCTAATAACATTAATATAATGACTGCTGCTACTGCTGTAGCACCTCATTGTGTAGTTAATATTCTATAGTCATACCTAATTACGTTTGGGACAAACCAACCAAAGCTCCACGCTAGTAATTATCACAAATAAAACGATGCGTTATTGATGAAAGCGAAGATTTATCATATTTTTGTTGATGTGATATTTTGTTTTATCGACAGAATCTATACAGTCAATGTGGTCCTATTGACCTCGAGCCTTTCTCTAATTTCGCCTTAAGAGGAATAAGAAAAATCCTTCCGTACCGTATTGAGACGTAAAGGACAAGAAAATGTCGATTTTGATTTCATTAAATTTCTCACTATGGTCTCTTTCCTTGTGGAGGTTAAACAATAATCAGGACTAAAATGATTAGAATCAAATCAAAGCCGGGAAACGTTTCTTTTTGGTCGTGCGCCATAAAAATATATTCGCCTTTGTTTACCGAATATTGCAGGCCGCCCTAAAAGCAAATTAAAGCAAGAAATTCACACGGAATATGAATCGTCGCGGGAGCTTGTCCGGAAAATTCCTTCAATTCGTCTACGCTCAAGCTCAGCCTGTGTATTTACGGGAGATGACAGAGATTTGACGTGCATGAGTCTCGCTCTACACATGATCTAGCACATTGCAAGAGGAGATTGCCAGGTTTTCCTTTGAGATTTTTCAGTTCATATTGATGCAAAGTAAAAAAGCAAGCCGAATTGTCTTCTTTTTCCATTTTCAACTTGAGAGAAGGTTTAAAAGACATCCCACGCGAAAAATTGTGGTTTGACAGCGGTAAAAAAAAAATTAAAAATAAGACTGGTTCTCAGTAATTGATCCCTACTATCCGTCTCGTAACCCTTTTACTCCCAAGATCTCATCAGTAATTCCCCTTTCTGTCTGCCAAACTATTCTTAAGATTTTATTCGGATAATTAGGTATTAGATCAACTAATAATCTCCTTAATGGTATTTTTCTTTATTCTCATCACTTGTCTGTTGATGTTGTATCAATATGGCAAGGAGGAGGAGTTAAAGGATAACTTAAACCGACTCTTAAGGCTTCTTTTCGGACGTAAAGCATCTTTCCCAATCTAAAAAAAGTCATAGTTGTTCAGAGTTCAAAGCTCATGTCTTCAACATGTTGAATATTTAATTTAGGGTTTCAATAATATTGGAGAATCTTCATCATCGTTTTTATCATGGAACAAGCCACCCACATTGACACTTTACAGAATGAATGGTGACTTAGTCAGACGATAAATAACAAGCTTGATAAGCCTGAACTTGTTTCGTTTATATTTGTTGTTTTTGGCCTGGAGAGAATATCAACAAATGATAACAGTTGAGACAAGTTACTTCATGCATTAGAGGCTTTGACCTTTTGTTATCGAAATTCCTCAGCTAGAAGAGAAGATAAGATGATATTGCATGTGTCCCTCCTTAGAAAGCCGCAGAAAGTACTTTAAGATCAAAAAATATCGGTAGACAGATGAAACTGATCTTTGCATTTTGAGCTTTTTCCAAGCGGAAACTAAGGCGAACAGTGTTTTGTTTTCGTGTCTTTTCCCTTGTTACTGGAAACCTTTTAATACTATCTCAAAACCGCTATACAAATACCTTAAGATGATAAACAAGTCTGTCAGCTTTAACAGAATTCACCTTCTGATAACTCCGATGCGCTTTTGCATGTATTTTTTTTTTCCTTTAATTTTTCGGCTAGTAAACGACGCTGACTTGGAGAATGCTTAAAAAGTCTTTAGAAGCTAATTTTGTTGTTGAAATAAAGCGATTAGTATCGGCTAATGATTTTTCTGTCTGTAAACTGGCGTGTTTGAGCCACTAACAGTTGGTTTTCTTCCACAAACGTTTGACTGATGAAATTGATATGGGGTGTTAAAAGGATTGCGACAAAGGTGAATTTCGGTAAATATTTGCTGACCAGAGGAACTGAATGAAAGAAAATACGCCTTAAAATTACATTGTTACTTATTATTTTTGGAAGCAATTTGGAATGATCTAATGACTGTTATATAACAGATATGTACGCCTTTAAGTCCTTGATCACTCGTTTGACTGTGTTCATTTCTGACTGACTAAAGTACCGTTCACCTCATTAATATCAAGCTATGATTTTCTCTGCCTTTTTCACAAAGAAAAGTGTGCTTCTTTTGCTATGGATTTGCTTGATGCAAGAAAGAGCCAAAGGTATTTCATTTGTACTTTTAGACTTTTCGTCGTTTCTGTTCAATTTCCTATTAATTTTGCTTCCATTCAGAACAACAAGGCTTTTTAGTTTGGATGTATAGAGTTGAATTTCTTCTTTACAACTTAAAGCGTTTAAACTACGTAAATTAGCCAAGCAACTGACAGCGTTAGGTCGCAAGCATGGCCTTTAACGTACCTTCATTCTAGTTATAGCAAGAGCTTGTCAAACCCCGCGCCCCACCCCCATTTCTTAGAAGCAAATGTATCCAGGGCACCAGACCTTAAATGCTGTCAGTCGATGAGCTGAGGCGAATTTTGCCTGTAACGTATCGTCATTTCAGTTGTAGCGGAAATTAATCAAATCGCTTATCCTAAAACAACTGTCAGTTGTTGAATTGAGGTGAAATTGGCCCATCTAAAATAAGTATGGCTACGTTGTTCGTTGGCCCAAGCAAACTTCTTTCCAATGTCAAAAATGTCATATGTGTTCCTAAATGGGATATGACAATCCCTGAAAAGGTAATTTTTCAAAAGGAAAGTAGAAAAAAAGTCATTTTTTACTTCGTCAATTACGGTCCTAATGAAAATATTTAAGAAAATTCGAGAGACTCTGATTTCCGCATCAAAATGTATAGGTTGGACTCAGGGCGGGGGTAGGCGGAGGCTGTGCCACCCACCCAAAGTTTTCTTTCCACTCCGTTCTTCCTGCTCCTGCTCCTGCTCCTGCTCCTGCTCCTGCTCCTGCTCCGAGTCTAAATGCTCGATTAAAAAATGAAGTCGGAAAGGCAGAGTGTCAACTAATTTGCCCTCATTATAAATATCAAATAGAGTTTTTTTTTTTTTTTTTTTTTAATTTTTTTCTTTCCTAACATAAGCAACATAGCTTATTGACGTTTCTTTCCTTCTCGGAAACAGCTGCTTATTGTAAGAAATGAGCAACCAGCCCTTTCAATTTCCAAATTTCCAAGACAATATTTCAAAGCCAAGTTCCAGTTTTAGTCGTGAGAAACAGGACACAGTGAAATGAATAAATGACCTCTTGTTTCCAGGTTATTGTGCTTTGTTTCCGGTAAACTCTGAGAAGAAAATTAAAAGAAAAGTAGACAAAAGATTCTTTTAAATCACTCTTTCACTGAGCATGGGGGTTTCTCACCAGCAGCGATGATTTTCGGTAAACATGAAGTATTGCTAACTGCATCAGACGTTTACATTCCCTAACAGGTACTATTGACCTAAGAATGTTAGGTTATTAGTTTACTCTCCATTTAGCTCTCATGTAATCGCTGATCTGTTCCTACTGTCTAAAAATAACACTGTGACATCGAGGACGTCGTTTAGGACGATTTGAAGCATTTTTTTACTATTTTTGTATTTTTCAAATGTGACGTAACTCATGTAGAGCTTAATCGTCCTATCTTTCCAAGCCTCTGGGAAGGGAAAGATTGGCATTCAACTGACAGATGATGACCTGAAGTGTCAGTACGTTTCATTCAGCGGCAAATTCTCCACTGATGGAACCCCCGTCAGAGTATTTGCTTCAATTAATCATGGAAATAAATCATCAGGGATCCATGATTTAGCTTTTATTTGGATCGAAGATGTTACAACAAGCCATTTCAAAGCCTGTCTCAAACAGAGTGGCAAAAACCCAGAAGGCAACAGAACTATGATTGATTGGTTTGCATTCCAAGGATCACAATCGGGAGTATCACATGGCCAGATTCGTTTTAACCTTTTCACTACTGGATCACGATGCAAGTGGGTTAAGTTTTCTCAGGTATGATTAACTTTTAATGTCAGTTGTTACTAATGTGTAGTTTGGTCATTGACTGTTTGCATCAATTTAACTCTCTTCATCTTCTGAATTTGTTTTATTTCTTTCTGGCACAACTTATGGACACTCATTTGAAGTCTTCAAAGCCTCTATTTCATTTACTCCTTACTTTCCCTGGTAAACAATTTACCATCCCTAATTCTTCTCGGTCCTTATTCGCGTTGTCTATTTCATTCAGTCTTTATTTTTACTCACATACGTTCGGTCTTCTCATTTTTTAATTTAACCAATAAATTCATTTACTCATCATCTGCTTAGACGTGTACTCATTTATTTGACCTTTTATGCGACGCCTCTTTGTCTATCTTCCATTTTCCATCCTTCTCTTTTAAAGCTGTCTTTTGTTCCATAAAAAAGTCATGACTATTTTGCAACGCAGAAGAAAAAGCATTGTGTGTTTTCTCTTTATATAAGGCGTTTTCATCAGTTCCCAAAATCCACGTGACTGTGCAACATGGAATTCCAAACAAAGAGCAGGACGCCATGAATGTTTGGATTACAAACGTTTCCGCGAATCGCTTTGAAGTTTGTTTACAAGAGTCCACAACGTTCAGCGGCCTTCACGACAAGCTTTCGGTGGTATGTAAAAATGTAACCTTGACAAAATCTAATTCACGCGGCCGTGGAATCGCTTCAAATTTTCTATTGTTCTTTCACTTTGCAGAACTGGATGGCGTTCGAATATTACCCGTCAGTTTGGGAGGCAAAGGAGTCCTCATTGGTGAAGTTTTCCGAAAACGAAGTACCATCTGCACGAGATAGTTACGCCCTATGTAAGGTATGACCAAACAAAGGTTAGTTTCCGAGTACTTTCAAAGTGATTACTATAGTTGATCTTGTTCACCTTAACCATGCCTTGCTAATTAATTATTTTTGTTTGTTCACTTTCGTTTTCAATTTTATAACTTGGGAAATTAGGAGATCTTTTTTCCTTCATCAAACGTAATCTCCCTTCCTATATGAGAATAAAATGATGACCGGTAAGTGATACCTAGAAAACCAAATGGAACTAACATACCAATTAATATAAGCAATTCTAATTTTTCCGAAACGAATCTCTTTTAACACAAAGTTTCCAAATACATTGAGACTTTTCCTTGCCATTGGAAGATTCAAAATAACTCTTCGAGCGAAAGAGAATTCCGTCCTCCCACTGGGATAGATCTGAGACCTTTAAGCTGGGTTAAGCGAAGCTTCAAGAAATATCACAAAGAAATAAGACCTTTCTCGTTTTGCAGAATGTCTCCTTTTCAAGTCCATTTTACTCTGCACCTGTGGTACTCACCACTGTCATTAGTGGTGTCGGTAACAACGCAAACAGTGGGTGTCCAGCGAAAGGTCCTTTGATAACTTGGCTGGAGGTAAGGCGATGTGGTTTGGGGTCATTTCAGAGCATTAGATCATTAATACTTACAGAAGGCAAAACAGCCTTCATATGAGGATATCAAACCAATAATTGTTGAATCAAGACAATTGAAGATTCAAATCAGTTATGTGAGTCAACTGGGGATCGTAATCGAAAAGTAGAAAATAGTATAGAAGCAAATAGTTTGAGGCAATGACTACAGTTGAATGGCCGTAACTATAACTTGTTAGAGATTTTTCTTAATCATCATCTTTTTTAAGATTACTATCATAAAAGACGAGCTGTATTGAAAGAAAAACGAACAAAAAAAAAACGCAGTTTAGTTAGAGCAAACCTACTGCGTCAGCTACTGCCACGTTCAAGGAAAGAAGTTTTAAGTTAATTTAATAAAATTTGCATTTTTTCCCTCTTCTTCGATAGGAAATCTCCACCTATTACTTTCGAGTGTGTATCAAGGATAGTGCTGGATATGATGGTCAAAGAAGCAAAGTTCTAATAGATTACTTGGTTATTGGAGGTATAATGTAGTACAAGAAACTTATTGTATCCATGTTTTTCTCTAACACGTTCCTGCGTACGGTCGATTTTCGTTAGCAGTGCAGTTGTTACTTTTCATGATGTACCAAACCTAAGGAGACTAACGATTCACGGGCCGGGGTTCATTGCCGTTCCGGAATAAATTATCAGGAAGTATGAGTAGTAATTTTCGAACTACAATGGTATTATGCAAAAAAATTTTAAAAGACAATACCGCTGATTTCAGATTGTTTCACGAGGAACGAATGAAACCTGTCAATGAACTGTTAAACGCTTAGAAGTACGTTCATTTTACTACGGCTCTTATCACCACTTTTGATATGATGTTAAACGCTTTTTTTTCTCTTTAAAGACTTATCAGCCGTGTCAAACATGAAAAATTCATTTGCAGATCTTGATCCTTGTACAAATGCAAGTTGCAAGTATTACAGCCATTGTCTAGCTTTGTCTCCAAACCGATTTACCTGTGCTTGCGAAAGCAGCTGTCCATCATATGAAGAACAGGTCTGCGCCTCTAACGGTCGCACATTTACCAACTTGTGCTTGCTTAAGGAAGAAATATGTAGAACTCGTGGGAATTACACCAAGTATCATCCTGGAAGCTGTGAAGGTACATTTTCGGTGATAAATAAGTCGTGGTTTTTGTTGATTGAAGAAAGCTTTTCTTTATGGGTACAGATAAACAAACACGAATAGACAGACATGAAGATTAAAGAGGAAGCTGTCAATTCGTATTTTCAAAACATGGAATATAGATTCTCGAGTTCACTTAATTTCAGAAACAATTAGGCAAAAAACTCACGTAAAGCTTTCAACTCGCTGTAGGTTTCCCTCTTCAGAAAGGAAGACATCAATTTCGAAATGTTCCTTCCTGGGCAGAGGATCATTGTGAAGTCATCAAGTTTAAACCATTTAGATTTTACCCAGACCAGAAAATTTACATACACCTTACTGTTAATCATGCGAACTACAGTGACTCCACTGTGGTACATGAAGCCACAACACCCTGGGTTGAGAGTGTTAACAGCACTCAGTTCACAGCCTGTGTAACTCGAGCCGGTAGGAATGATTACCCCTCGGATAGCTTTGCCACAGTTGATTGGGTCGCTCATCAGGGTGCTCCGTCTGGGGGAGTAGCAGGTGAGAAATGGTTCTCAAGATGGTGGACTGGGACTAGCTGTCAAACGGTTACCTTTTCTAAGGTATAGTGAGTTGTAATGTTCCAATTTTTAACTTAGTTTGAAACGACCTAAGAGTACACGAAACAAACGAAAGTTTCCCTGTATTATTTCTTTTCGCATACGTTAGTCATTTCAAAACTGTCAAGCCCTCTTTTGTTTAGGAAAACTAGGCGCGAGAGGAGGGGAGGGGGTGGAATCCACTTTGCAAGGAGTGAGTGACGTTCTTTAGCATTTAAAGATAATAGTACGTAGCGTTTTGAACTCTTAAAGATACTGTTGTAAAAAGTTAGGCAAGGGTCAAGAATTCTTAGTACAAAATAACCCGGCTATGTTTGTTTTTTTGTTTTGTTTTTTTGTTTTGTTTTGATTTTTTTTGTTTTATCTTCTTGTTTCGTCGGTTCGTTCGTTTGTTTTTTACTTATGCGCAGTACGGCATGATAAGCTTATACTTTCAATTTCAATATTTTTTCCAACGAGTTGCTTCCGCCAATTCCTACAGGGAAAATATTCCAAACCACCGACGATTTTTGCAACCGCTGAGCACTACAGGTCGCGCCTAAGGCATGATGCCACCACAGTATGGCTTGAAGATGTCACGGCAACTTCCTTCAAGATTTGTCTCCGGGAGCTGCAAAATTTTGCCGGGGTTCATGAAGACATATCGGTGGTAGGTATTTGTGACTATATTTTTCCAATCTCTATCGGTTTTTTTTTTGAAGAAAGACTAATTACAGAGCAAAATAGTTTTAAAAAAATGGGAAATATTATGAATTATATAATGTACCATCGTCCTCTACTACAGGAAGGTAACTTGTTGAATTCAACCCCCACGTGATAACGTATTTCAACTAATTTGAATACTTAACTTGCGATCTGTGGAATGGAATGACATAAGTCAGAGAGCAGTAAACTAGTATCTATCACAGGTAGTGTTTAAATAGTAGGTCGAAGTGAAACCCTGGAACTAAGAGCGACTCTCCATGTGCCAATATTGTACCCATTTTCTTTCTATCATCATTTTCCGTTAGAACTGGTTGGCGTTTGACTCCCTCCATAGACCATTGTTTTCAGAACACAGTGAAGTAACTTTCCAGAATGACGTTTTGCCTTCCGAGAGTGACAACTTTGCATTTTGCAAGGTAAGCACAAGACTGAATATGGAATTTGTGTTAGTCGCTAAACCTTAGGAATTCCTTTCCCCAAAGTTTGAGCTACCCATCGACCTAAAAAATTATGTGGAAAATCAATTTCGCATGGCGACTGTCCTTGAAGTACCGTTTTTGAAAGTGAATAACGTTTCTCGATAAGGAAACAAGAACATTTAGGCAGAAATATTCGGTCCACGCAGGGCAAAATAATCTCATTTGCAGTTGGCGAATGTGTTCTACAAATGAAACTTGCCATTCTTCTGACGCTAGAATTCTAGCTCACTGCTCACATAATTGAAGCATACGTTTTTAGCAATTCAATATTTTATTATTTCAAATTAGCTGGAGGCTGTGAAAAATGACTAAACTGCTCCCCACCAGCGAAAAAAGTTGTATTTCCACACAACATTTTTCAATAACTATGTTCATTGCTATCATATCGCTGTGATTTACACTAATTAACAAACAGATTCCATCTTACCGTCCACATGTTCAACAAAAGATCACATATGACACCAAAATGTGGTGTGAAAAAACGAGTGGCACACCATATTTTGACGTCATCTATGATTTATAACTGTACAGACCTACGGCCACATAGAATCTATTTTTTCTGTATCATATAAAAACAAATTTGTTGTTAACGATGACGTCATCTATGCGTCTGTCCTCGATTACATCATAGGTAAGAACTGATCAAATAGCTTAAAGGATTCAGCTCATCGTATAATTAACAAATAGATTCCAAATTGCCGTGCGTCTGTTCAGTAATAGATCACAGATGACGTCAAAATGTGGTAAGAACAAAAAAGTGGCACACGAGGCGCAGCCGAGTGTGTCACTGATGTTTTTACCACATTTTGACGTCATCTGTGATCTATTACTGAACAGACGCACGGCAACTTGGAATCTATTTGTTTTATATAATAAAGAATTAAAAAAAGTTTTAACAATGACGTCACCTGTACGTCTGTCCTCCAATAGATCATAAGTAAGAACCAATCAGAATGCGTGCATAACTGAGCTTATTAAATAATAATCAATTCTATCTTTCGTATTTTTAGAATGTAAGTTTCAGGTGGAGCTACAGAAAAACACCAACAGTGTTGTTAACGGCAAAACACTCCACCAACGATGGAAATGCAGCCACAGAGTGCAACGGAATTGCAAGCTGGATTGAGGTAATCTGCAGAGCTGAAATTGCTGAGAAGCATCTGAAAGTCCATTCAGTTTACTCGGCTATTTTCTCCTTTCGAAAAAAAAGAGTTAAGTCACTGGCTAAAGAAAAGTCCTATTTTTCTGTGTCTTCAGCATGATAGAACAGGCAACGACAGAGAAGAAAGAAAAAACTTGGCTCTCTTATGACCAATAATCAACCCGATTACCCGTTGGTTGCAAATGCAATAAGCAACAGAGAATTCATATTGGGTATTTTACGTCAAAAATTTTATCACGAATCATATGTCAAACTTCTTTAACCTTTTGATCATCTGCTTTACGTGTGACAGATTGAGTTCTTGTGTCGTGTCGTAAATTGCTTTTTCGTGTGTCCAATATACGTTGTACCATTTTTGCCTGCTTCTTGCTTTTTCGAAACTTTTTTGTGAGCTTCTATTTTGTCACTTTTTCCCTTTGAATTATTTGACAAAGCGCTGTGTTCTTATCACATATTCACATATCTCCCCTTCAACCTGAAAGACAACACGCAAAGTAAAAAAAATCCTTGCCAGCGGTACGTAATCCTCTGAGGACTGGTTAGATTATAACACACCAATAAGGTTATCTCTCAGGAGTACGATAGAGCTTATTTGACCAACATTTCCGTTCGACTTTTAAAGCCTTATCTCTTTTTTATTGAGTTCATCACCTGTTCCGGCTTCCGCATTTGTGTCAAGGAACTCTTCATCCAGCGTTTCGATCCACTGACAGTGTCATATGCTGTACTAACAGGTGAGGGAATTGACTTGCTTGTTACAAAATTGCTTATCAAGAGTATCAAGTATCCAGAATTTGAATTGAAAGGGGTTCAAGCACATAATGATAGGAGGGTCTTCAGGCCCTTTGAGGAAATGTTTCCGGGCTCTCAGATCTCCTCGTCTCTAACAGCACCTACTCTTCCCTCCCAACATAAGAATTTTGCTCTCGTTCGAACATTTATTTCAACAGATATTTGCGAGGATGACTGGGAATATCTCAATGGATATTGCTACAGAAAAGTATCTTCCTGTGATTCATGGAGCAATGGCCAGGGAACATGCGCAGCCCTGGGAGCTAATCTTCCAAGTATCCATAGTCAAGAGGAAAATGTTTTTGTTCAAAGTCTACATGGTGGAGAGCATTCTTGGCTGGGGCTCTCTGATACCAAATCTGAAGGTCCTGGAGGGAACTTTGCTTGGAGCGATGGAGCACCATTTGACTTCAATTTTTGGGCGCAACACCAACCGAAAAAGTCACATAAACAGAACTGTGTTCATACACTTGGTTTCCTTCAAGATCATCTGTACAAATGGAAAGATGTTAATTGTACTGAATGTCACAGATTCACTTGTAAGAAAGGTACGACATAGTTTGAAGAATGAATCGGAGATGTTGCCATCAGTGGAGAATTAACAGCAATGTTTTGAGTCTTTTTTCTTTCTTACGTCCACTTATCTCCTATCAAAAGATAACCTCACTCAAGGAAAAGAATGCTTCAAGTTAACACATATATGTAAGCCTTTTGGTCGTTAAATGGGGAACTATCTATTTCTGTTGATATAAAAAATCTTAGTCAACTATTGCTTACAGCATCAACTACTAGCTTACGATTTGTTAAACGTTACCTGAAGTAATAATCTCAAAAAAATAAAAGAAATTATGCCATGTTTCACAGCTTCTTATGTTTTCTTCTTGAATGAAAAATTGCATGGAAGATAAAGTCAATGAAGTGACTTCCCTATGTTAATACTTGAATAGCTTTAATGACCATTTTTACTTTTACAGACTACAACGAATGCAAAGATCTTTCCTTCGATTGCCCAGAGAATGCCACTTGTGTGAATAGAGATGGTACCTACTCATGTCGATGTCCTTCTGGATTTCGTTTAGATGGGAAAAACTGCTCAGGTCTGTAAAAACGTGACACCTTTAATGAAAAGCACATAATATAATTGCGAAAAAACATATTCGGAACAATATAAAACCGTCGTTTTAAGCATAAAAGGCCTCTAAGAGAATTTACGAATGGACTTCCCTTCTCAACCCGAGTTACGAAAGGTAAAAGTGTCAATATATCAGCTAACGATGTGATAATGCTTCTGATTTAGGTGTCAATTTTCAGATTTATGACGTTACCATGGCAACTGACATCACCCTGATAACAGACAGATTTAGAACAATTTTTGGCCTAATGCCTCTAGATTTTCATTTTTATTCGGTGAAATGTCTTCATTCTTTGGCACATTAGGGAAATGTTACTTCCTGACCTTTTTAAATGGCAAAAATTGAAGATCTTTCGCACAATTTTGGATACATTCGAACCTCGATTATCGGGACTCGTGGGACTGGACGAAATAGACCGGATAATTGAGGGTCCTGATAATCGAGAATATGAATATTAATGAGGAACAAATACTAATTATTTTAAGAGAGCGACATTTAATCGTGAAACAAAACATTCACAAATCGTTTTTAAAAAAAAGGATGGTCTACACCTTCACTTTCCGTTGAGAATACCTCCACAAGTGTGTATTAACAAGAAAATCAATGAAAAATGTTTTTACATTGGCCTAAAATGTCAAAGTAAGCCAGTTTGTCTCAAAGAAGAACATCGCGTGCGCATTGATCGAGAGTCCCATCATTCTTCCAAGCAACAGGATCTGGATAGCATCAACATTGTTCTGTCTTTCCATTCATAATAAACACTTTTTACAACATTCAACAGTTTCAGAGTTCGAAACAACTTTCTCATCTTGGCCTTCATGTTCCTCATCGCCGCTACTTACAACTTCGAAAGAAGACTTCCAACAACGCTTTCTAAAATTTGCTCGTCGGGCAACTGTGGCGAAGTTGGGAGCTCATTCTCACTTAGCAACAAAGTAACTCTAAGTCAATCCGACCTCATTCGAAGGTTCTTCATTAGTTAACACGCGTACCAGCGCTGCTTTTGCTTTTTGAAAGCGAAACAAACTCGCTTTTGCTTCACTTTTCAACCTGCAGTTTTAAAAAAGAATACGACTACGGATCTTGATCATGACTTTTAAAAGAAAAAGTTCGGATAATCGAGAGATCCGGATAATCGAGGGTCGACTGTAATCTCTAAATAGGCCATTTGATATGAATTTGCGAGTGGCTAAGAATGGACCATTTTTCAAAAGCATTCATTGAAGGAAACGCAATAAATTTCATTGGAAAGATCTCTCAGTTTTTCGTACTCCCAGATCGTTACCTGAGCAAGCGTAAACTTTCGAATCTGTCACCTTTTCGCAATCTTGCACTATGGATATAGCTGCTAGAAACCCTTAAGTCACTATTATTAAAAAAAACTGTCCTATTTTATGCTGATTTAATACTACTTTCCAGCTAATAATTGTTTGATGGTATCCAGCCGCTATCATTTTTTTTGTTTACACTGCACCTCGACTCCCATCAACCCGAGCCTCCAAGAGAAATAGAAAGAAGGTTTGAGTTATGTGGAGCGCTCTTCTTCGAAGCTAAGGAAAAAAGCGCTGAAATTTGGACAAACTTCAACCGCATTTCTATTCTGTAGCTTTTTATTCAGTTTAACTGTTTCCAAATGTCTTAACTTAGACTCAGCAGCTAAGAACTGTGCTGAGCTGTACAAATCTGGTAAGTCAACCAGCGGTGTTTATGCAATCGACCCTGATGGTTCTGGTGCCTTTGATGTATACTGTGACCAGACAACAGCCGGTGGGGGGTGGACGGTGTTCCAAAAGAGACTGGATGGCTCGGTAAGTTTCTACCGCGGCTGGACCGATTACAAGAATGGCTTTGGTGACCTGAATGGAGAATTTTGGCTAGGACTGGACAAGATACACCGTTTGACAAAAACAAAGAAAAGGCTTCGAGTAGATCTGATGGACACCAAAGGCAACACTGCTTACGCCGAGTACGACATGTTTGCAGTTACCAGCGAGAGGACTAAGTACAAGCTCAGCCTTGGCACTTATTCAGGTAAATGAACGATGTTGTGTAGGTGAACCTCTGATTGTGATACTAAACATGTTGTACTAAATAATGGTTCTCGTTAAATGTGGTTTAAATTATGGCATGACATCTTGTTTTCCTTTCTTTTATAAATATTGGGCGGGAGGTCCCTAATGAAAAAAACTACGCCCGAGTCATTGAGTATCCTTCGTGGCTATAGTGTACTTAACAAGAATGAATTTATCCAAATCAACGGGAGAAAAACAAGACTTTGCACCTTGCAGCGCCGACTTACAACCCTTCACAGCTTACAGTTATGATGCTACAATATAGTTGATCATGCACAATCTGCATTTACCTATGCAATGTAGCCATTATCAAATATCTTAATACTTTTTGGATTTTTTTTCAGGAACTGCTGGTGATTCTCTCATTTATCATAATGTCCGTCCCTT